CGCCTGGCACGGTAAGCACTGCACACGCACCATGGCAGATGTTTCGCGTTTCCTCCTTGCCGTTCCTCAGATGACCTCATCTCAAGGTCATTTCCTCACTAGCCATTGGCATGAGGTGAACAAAGCTCCAGTTCAGGCATCAGGTGCTAGATCAAGCCTTTCCCCCAAATCTTCAGCGAAACGTAGGTATCATCTGTCTTCTCTTTTTGCTCATCAAGCTGGTATGAAAGCACGTATGGGGTTAAACGAGAGTTTTTATGCATGTCCTTATCACTTGACTATGAGCTTCTAGAATGAAGAGCTAATTTGGACCTCTGACATATGTCAGAGTGGCCAGGAAAATGTTAACCTAAAAACAGCTACTGAAAAACCATTAAGTGTCAGAGTAAACTGAAGTACATTTTAAAAAATACCGGGCTGGGCACAGTGGTGGCCCATTCCTGTCATCTCGGCACTTTGGGAGGCTGAGGCAAGAGGATAGCTTGATCCTAGGAGTTCGAGACCAATCTGGGAAACATAGGGAGATCCTGTCTCTAAAAAAAATAAAAAAAAATTAGCTGGGCATGGTGGTGTGTGCCTGTGGTCCCAGCTACTAGGGAGGCTGAGATGGGAGGATCACTTGAGCCCAGGAGGCAAAGGCTGCAGTGAGCCGTGACTGCGTCATTGCACTCCAGCCTGTGAGACAGAGTGAGAGCCTGTCTTTGAAAAAATAAAAATATAAAAAATAAATAAAAACTAATACTTAGATAAGGACTTTATAGGTATGGCATGAAAACCAGAAATTTAAAGAAATAAAGAGTGAGAACTGGTCTCAAAAAAATAAAAATACAAAAAATAAATACAAACTAATACTTAGATTAAATAAGGACTTTACAGGTATGTCTTGAAAGCCAGAAATATAAAGGAAAAAAATACATGCGATGACTTTACAACTTCTGTACGAAATACGGTAAAAATGACTATGATCAGAGTTAATAATAAATTGGAAAAGTATATAACATGGGACAAAAAATTCATATCCTTAATTGAAAACAGACTTTTTAAATCAAAAAGAAAGGAGAATAGCCCCAATAGAAAAGTGGAGGCTATTCACACACAAAAAGAGAAATACAAATGGCCAATAAACGTATGAGAAGATATTCAGCGCTACTAGTAATAAATCCAAATAACAATGTTTTAACCTAAGAGATTGGCAAAAGTTAAAAATATGCATAATAAAGGATAGATAGATAAATAGAGGTAGACAGTTGCCATGGTTTTCAAAATTTAAAACATGCCTACTCTTTGGTACAGCAAATATCCTTCAAAGAATTTATCCCAATAAAAAACTGGATCAAATGAGCATATATGCACATGCCAACACACACAGACACAGGCATAAGAAAATAAGTCACTGTATTTTGGGGAACCAGTTATTTAAGAATAGCCACTAAATAAAATTATATAGATGATGTATAATGAATGATATATGAGAAAAGCTTAGTATAAAATGCATTTAAAAATATGGACCTCTAGCTGTATATGTACATGGGAAAATATCTGGAAGGATATACACCAAAAAGTTGACAGCACGCACTGTGGGATTACAATTAGTTTTCACTTTTTAAGGTCTTTCTTTACTCTCTGAAATTCTGAAGAAACAGAAAAAACAAACACCAAAACCTGTCCACCTCCCTTCCTCCCTCCTTGCCTTTCTTTCAGAAGCTGTTCACCTTGTCTATCCTGAGATAACTCACCTTACAGGAGAGGCATGTTAAATCTGCATGTCGTAAGTTCTCATGATCTTACTGGAAAGTAAGAACAAATATTCTAAGAAATAATTCCTCAAGCTTTTTTTAAATGTCTTAGGCTTTTACTTTATATTAACAGTCAATATAAGAGAAGGGATTCTAAGGGAATGGAAACAAAAGCTTAAGGATGGCTGCGTTTCTGTTAAAGGTTGCAAGGTCAATCTCATGATGACACTGGTCTTCCCCATTGATTCTGGGGTTTATCAGACTGATCTGGCTGGATGGGCAAGTGTCTCTTTTCTCCCTCTCTGCTTTACATGCACACTTAATAGAAGAGGACAACCTTCCCTGAGAGAAGTGTCCTGTTCTTTTTTTCAAGGGTAAAGGCAACATCTTGAATCAAAAAAGATTTATCATGTGAATTGATGAGGGAATGAAAGTTTTTCACCTGATTAAAAATAAAATCATTGTGTTAGTCCTTTACATGTAGGAAGACCAATGAAAATCTGAGGCATACATGTGCTTCGTTAAAGTGATAAAAGTATGAGAAAATTCTTTGAAGATAAAAGTAAATGTTTGCTAGATAACACTGGGATTGTATCTTCTTAATTCCTAGCAGAATAACTAGATCAAAACAAATGTTCAATAAATACCTGTTGAACTGAAAAGCCTACATGAGTATAGTAACTAGATAATTTGCGTGTTGCCATGTGGGAAAAAATAAAAGCGAAGGGAAGAGTTTATGACCATGGTAGTAGTAGGAATAAAGCAGATTGCTAATGACTAAAAAGTAAAACCAGGCAATATGAAAAAAAAGAAAAATTTTGAGTTTTTACTTAGAAGTCTGATAGTTATATTCACTAATGGATCCTTAAAAAGAGTAGAAGTCTCACAGGTAACAGTGACTAATCTCATATTAAAATGCTATCTTTTCCTGCTAGTCACACCATGAAAATAAAATTAAATGGCATTAGAATTGATATTCAAAATATTTAACAACCGGAAGCACACAGACACTTATCAATCAGAAAGGATGCCTGACCAGTCAACCTGACACCGAATTCCAGCCCTGCATATTTATCTACCTGGTATGCACCACAGTAAAAAAAAAATCTGCAACAAGCACATATTCTTTTTTATTTTTAAGTTGCAGGGTACATGTGCAGGATGTGCAGGTTTGCTACACAGGTAAATGTGTGCCATGGTGGTTTTGCTGTACCTATCAACCCATCACCTAGGTATAAAGCCCAGTGTGCATTAGCTGTTTTTAACTAATGCTCTCCCTCCTCCCATCCCACCCCATGACAGGCCCCGGTGTGTCTTGTTCCCTTCCCTGTGCCCATGTGGTCTCGTGTGGTTTCAGTCAAATAGCATATTTTTTTGTTTTGTTTTTTTTTTTTTTGAGGGGAGTGTTCATCTGTGGCCCAGGCTGGAGTGCAGTGGGCACCACTCGCTCACTGCAAGCTCCCTCCGGGTTTGCCGCCATTCTCTGCCTCAGCCTCCCAAGTAGCTGGGATACACAGGCGCCCCGGTAATTTTTTGTATTTAGTAGAGACGGGTTTTCACCGTGTTTAGCGCAGGATGGTCTCGATCTCCTGACCTATGATCACCCGCCTCGGCCTCCAAAGTGGCAGGGATTACAGGTGTGAGCCACCGCGCCCGGCCCTCAAATACATATTCTTAATTTACTACATCCCATTTATGACCAGTCCATTTCAGAACCATTTAAAATTCTTTCGCAGCACACTTCTGACAGGCACAAATAATATATACAGCTAACTAGAATAGAATCTCTTGATGGCTGATACATTTTCTAACCAAATACTAGAAATCTGTCTCTGGAATATTGATTTTTATTGTGAAATTACTCATTCACCTTCTGTGTTATGAAACAACAGCAGTATTGTCTCACTAGGGTGTGATCCTGGTCAAGTGATAACCCCTTCAGTATCTGGTTGGCCATCTTTATAAGGAGAAAGTGAACTTACAGAAAGGTAACAGAAAGGTTTCATCTTGCTTTGACCTCTGACTGGTTGGTAGAGGCGGTCAGAGGTAGTGAATGAAGCACTCAGATGAAGACAAGCAGCATGTAATCGGGTTAAGGAGAGAAAGTGCTGTGAGTCATTAACGATGTCTTCCATGGTCAAAGAATTGGAAAAATAACTGCATAACATGTCACGTAGTTGCCATCCCTGACTCAACTGTCTCTGAAGTTCTCTCATGCTCTACAATTCTGTTTTCCCATTAAACACTGACTCAAAACGGTTATTTCACTTTCCAAAGTGCCTAATTATATCATAGGAGTACTGTAGCCAGTGGAAGATACTGGTCCACTGCAAAAGCATCCTAGTATTCTACATACAGCTCTGCAATACTCTTATTCAGTTATAGAATTTCATGGGGCATCACAAATTGCTTTGTAAACTTGAGGATGCATCACTGGCTATTGTTCCTGGTGGATAAACCACAAAGTCTGTGATTTATCTCAGTGGACACCATTAGCATTTCAATGCGGTAGGCCTTTCCCTACACTTAGAAGAAGATCAAAATACAATGTGGTCATTTCTGGCATTTTAGAAAGCAATTTCCAGTAGTTTGAATGCTCAAATATGTTAAGAAATGGTTAAATAAAAGCAATATTTACAATTTCTATTAGTAGCTTCCATTATTTGGGTTACTATCAAATGAAAAACATGATCAATACTACATCAGAAGAGAAGAAAAATCCACATATATGAATGAGTATATAATCCATTCATTGCTTTATGGACGCCCAGTTCTCTGGAGAGCGTTCCTGAGTGCAAGATGATGGCCCTGAGTGATGAGTTTTACATTTAGATGGCTGAGTGAGCTGAGAGACTTGTAATACCACAAGTAGTGGAGAGCTCCCTATTGAGTACGCATCGAAGGAAATCCTGCACAGGGTTCATTACTGCAAGCATATGAATTATTTTGTGCACATGAAATGCCACAGAGCTATCCATGTTTCACAAGGGATAAGCCAAACACAAATGTACCCTATAGTTTTTGTCCAAGAATATACCTCACTGTTTACGGACATGAACTACCCACAAAACCTGCTTTTCTATGTATCTAAATTTGCTGAAAATGACTGAAAATACTCTGTGATTTATGATATATTATGACCAAACTCACCTCCACCAAATATAACCTCATAGTATGCTTCTAGACCAAATGAATAAATACAAGTAATAAAACAATGTAACACCCTGATTTATAGACAAAGTAATTCTAAGAACTTGTTCTTACCTATAAAATAAGACAGGAGTATTGCCAGGAGCACTGAGACCCCTACGGCACACAGTGCAGTGCATTTCCAGCTACAGTACTTTGAAGACTTCTTGAATTTAAAAGCACTTCTTGATAGAGTATTTCTAGGTAGTGGCCGAGTAGGCGGTGAATAAACAGAGCCAGATGCCATTGTGTATCCTGGGGTTGCAGTACTGAACAGTGGCGTTGTCCCTGTTCCTGTTTTGAATAGGAAATGCCTGTGGAAAAGGAGAATATCATTATAAGATACAAATATGTTGCAATAGGAGAGACAAGAGACAGCAATGCATTTAGCTTTTCTGTCTCTTTTGCTCTCTCTCTCCTTTTTTTTTTTTTTTAAAGAATTTATCCTATATAACCTAAAGCATTAAAAATCAAGGAAATGTTTTAACCAAAGAATCTAACTCATAATAATGACTCTCACGAAAGAGACTGATTTTTAATGTAGACAGCAGGATTTATACATATAAATGATCACTGTCCCTTCAAGTAGACATCTCGAGAGACTCTAAAGACTTTCTAATCACACTATTTCCTGAACAAAACCATTTTGGAATGTCCCATGATGAATTACCCTAAGAGCATTTTCAGTTAGCAAAAGAAACCCAGTCTTGTTGCTTTGTAGCTACATGGGCATTTACTACTCATGAGACTACACACTTATATAAACATGAGTATGCATGATCACGCTGATCTTCTGCACACTGATTTATTTTCTGGACGTCCATGGAAACACTGTCATCTTGGCCTGCTTCTTTGCTAATAAGTACTATAAAACCAAGTTTGGCTATAGGCAGTTGGTCAGCTCTCAAACAATTCAAACTATTTTATTGACAGCTTATGTCAAACATAATCAGGAATGTGAACCTGCTGGGGGTAGGGAGAGGGAAGGAATCATGGAACACCTTCTAATACCAAACCTAAATAAATGAAGGGGTCAGTGAAGCAGATTCTGGATCAAATATAGAAATGTTCCCTAACCACGAGCCATACAACAGAGAGCAACCTGCCTCTAAAAGTTACATGCTCTCTTCCTTGACAATGTTTAAGCGGAAATTGTGTGGTCACATAACAAGAGCACTGTAAATGGAATTCTTCAGGAAAGGTAACTAATTTTAAGATTCCTATTAACAATAGAGGTCTCCAAATTTTACAAAAGCACCATTTGTTTTATGGTTTACATTTAATATTATGCTGGTAACTTACAGTATATTCAGTGAGTATCCCAACACTTATCACGATGTTCCTAGCACATCCCATGAAGTCAACAGACTGTGCTCTCTTTCATATTCAGATTGTACACAGGTCTTTCAACCTGAGATGGTACAGTCTTTATGGAAGGTCATTTTAGATAAGACAGAGCTAAATACCTTTAATTTTAATCCTCATGTACTTATCGTATACTGGAGAAATGCTGAATATATCAAACAAATTAAGGGGTTAACAGGACAGAACTGGGAAACCAGACTGCCAAGGTTTAAATTCCACTTAACCACTTAGTAGGTACGTGTCCCTGATGAGTTAATGAAAGTCAGTTTTGGTTCCTTAATCTATAAAATGGGGATGGTAATAGTATCTACCTCACAGGGTTATTATGAAACTTAAATAACTTAATATTTAAAGTAAAGTGCTTGGAATGTGTTATATAAGTATCTGATGAATAAAAAAGGATCACACTCATTTATTTTATGTATATTATTACTTAGAAGAGGCTGAATAGGTATTTAAAAGTTACAAAGAATCAATCTCCAGAAAATTATTAAGTGAAAAATAGTGAAGCCAGTCTACAGATGTGGTAAAAGTCATGAACGTTGGCCTAATACAGGCCAGTAGAGTGGAAGGAATTCTGGATTGAAAATCAGTCCCTGGTCTATCATTTCCTAGTCATCTGGTCCTAGGAAGCCTCAGTTTTTTTTCTCGACCTGTAAAAAAATGGCACTAGTGACTTACTTATTTTAACAGGGTTGCAAAACAGCTAATGTCTCTAAAAAATGCTTTGTCAACCACAAAATTAGAACAGACACAAATGATGAGTTGTCACTTGTACAAATTATACTAGCGACTGTATTATGAGCCCATTTCCCCACCGAACTACTTTAAAAAGCTAATTTAAAAGTTTATAGCCTGAATTAAGTGCTATGTTGCAGGCAGCATTAGTACCTCCTACCATATTCATATTCAGCACGGTTATTCAGTGCTCTGAAAGGACACTGTCTGAGTTCAAATCCAGACTCTTCACCTATAAATAGCTGCATGATTTTGGGTAAGTTACTCAAATTTTGTGTCTTGGTTTTATCATCTGTAAAAAGGGCATAATAACAGTACATACAATTTACAGGCATTTTCCAAGGATTAAACGAAATAATGCATATATAAAGTGTTTACATTAGTATCTAGCACAAGGTAAGTGCTCTAAAAGCATTAGCTATGTATTATTTTGCTCAAAATCACATATCACAGTCTCTATTCAAAGGACACATAAGTATAATTTGAAGATTTTAAATGCCAATTCAAAATGTAACATCATCAAAACGAATGTGTACAAAATGAATTCCCTGGTTTACAAATTTGATACTGGCGATTCCACACACTGGCATGTAGTCTGGATAAGAAGATGGACTATGTCATTTAGATCAGGCATCAGCAAACTTTTGCTGTAAAGGACACAGAGTAACTATTTTAGGCTTTTCCAGAGATATCACTGAACTCTACTGTTATATCGTGAAAGCCGCCATAGACGATGCATACATGTTTAACTCTGGCTCTGTTCCAGTAACACTTTTTTGTAGACATTGAAATTTTAACTTTATAGAATTTTCCCATGTCATGAAATCCTCTTTGCTTTTCATGTTGTCAATTATTTAAAGATGTGAAAACCATTCTCTGCTCACAAGCAGTACAAAAACAAGTAACAGGGCTGGACCTGGCCTATGAGTCATGTTGGCCCGGATCTAGATTCTCACTCTTTTCAGGATTATACATGAAGAGTGAGCAGGAGGCTCAGCAGCCCATAGAAACAGCCTATTCCCTCAACGCCACTGAGAGGATATAAAAGGCAGACTAAAGGGTGCAAAGCATGCCTCTTGTGAAGCTTGGACAGATCCATGTCATTGGACAGAGATCCTGTTATTATCTTCTGGAAGTTCCACCCTAAAAAGTCCTGGCAAACACTGGCGCATGCATTTCACAGGGCCAAAGGATCATTTTTGCCAAGCATAGGAAAAGGACTGACGTTTCCTGTGACTGTGGGACAATTTGCTTACTTTACTGCAGCGGTCCCCAACCTTTTTGGCACCAGTGACCAGTTTCGTGGAAGACAATTTTTCCCTGGACCAGGAATGGGGGGTGGAGAGGATGTTTTCGGGGTGAAACTGTTCCACCTCAGATCATCAAGCATTAGATTCCCACACAACCTAGATCCCTCGCATGTGCAGTTCACAATAGGGTTCGTGCTCCTATGAGAATCTAATGCTGTCACTGATCTGCCAGGAGGCGGAGCTCAGGCAGTAATGCTCCCTCCTCCGACTGCCACTCACCTCCTGCCGTGTGGCCCAGTTCCTAGCAGGCCGCGGATCGGTACTGGTCCACAGCCCAGTGGCTGGGGCTATGTGGGCTTTGGCATTCGCTCAGTTTGGGTTGACCCCTCCTGGTATCACCGATGGAGGTGATAGGTGTCCATTCTGTCGACTTCATTAATAATGGTAACTGCCATGTCCTGAGTACCTACTAAGCACTGTATTGTTGTTTCACTACAGTTTTCACCATAATGCAGTGAAGAATAAAATGATTATTTGAATTTTCAGCCTTCATCCTCCAAGTCTCAGCTCAGATGTTACTACCTGACCATCCAATCCAAAGCCCTGTTCCCTCTACTCTTCACAGTATTACCATGTTAATTTTCTTCAAAGTGCTTATTACAATCAGTTATCCCATTATTTATTTGTGTGGTAAATCAAGTTTCTGAAGTACTATTGAAAGTATGTTTTTTCCTCCTGACTTTTTCCCCTTTCTCTGTTTTCTCTGCCTCAATCTTCTTGTTCTAGTTTTATTTCACTGCCTCCAGAAGAAATGAAATAAGATGAAGGAAGAAATAGCTTAAGTCTCTTACCGGTTTTCTAACGCCCAGATGGCTGAGTGAAAGAGAGTGGACTGGGGAGGAAAATGGTGTGAGGGGAGAAAGGGCTTCCCTCCAGAAAGGAGAATATGTCCACGCTGGGGGCAGGTGCAGAACCTGAGGGGAGCTGGTGACAGCAGAGGAGCAACAGGGCCCAGGAAGAGAAGCCTGAATTCTGCCTCGTGGGTGGCGTCCTGGGGAAGCGATGAGACTCCAAAAAGTCTGAGGCTCTTCCTACTGCTTCCATGCCATGCTCGAGGGAAGAGAGCAGCAGAGAGAGCTACCTGGCAAAGCTGTGTGTACAGAAACACGCAACACTTCCATAGTGACAGGTTTGCAGGCCCATGGCCAACGACGGAGCCCCTTACCTCAGTCTTTGGTCCCATGAAAACCCTCTGGGGGAAAGTGGGAATGGAGAGGCTTTGTGATGTACCCAACATGTCAAGAATAAACCGAATTTAGAAAATAAAGATTCCCCTGAGACTAGAAAAAAATATTTCATTTTATTAAGGGCTAGGAAGAGAAAAAGAGAAGACTGGCTGAAGATGTACCGTGTCCCAGGGATAAAGGCCCCGCTCCTGGCCTCCCTGCGTGAGTCCTGGAGAAGCAGAGATTACAGTGTAAATCCAAGAGGCCTGAGAGCAGAGAAAATCTGTGCCTTACATCTCAGACAGAGAACGGAGGCGATAACAGGATCTCAAAGGGAAATAAACGCATGAAGCATCCAGGTGATACAGTCAGGGAGCCTGGCCGAGTCCTGTGCCTGAGCATAATTTCTAAGAAGCGGAACTACTTCTATGGCTGCAAGAGTAGCAAAGAGACGGCAGAGTGTGCCACTGGACAAGCAGGGGCCTCGCGGATAGGAACGAAGGTGACCCCTGTAATAGCAGGAGGATTAGAAACAGACAGACAGACAGCATGAAAACTCGACGTCTTAGTGGAGAGTCTAACACCAGAAGCTCCCTGCTGTGCTCAGAGTACCATGGAGGAGCTGGGGTAGGGGAGGGAGGGACCCAAACCACCTGAAGAGAAGATTGTAGGAATGAGACCTAAAATGAAACATAAATGGGCCGGTGCGGTGGCTCACACCTGTAATCCCAGCAC